AACTTTTTTCTGCTTTACTTGGAACGCTATGCTTACTTTACCTAGGTCTACTCCTAAGGCCAAACGATAACGATTTTGACAAATCATTATTTTTCCAAATTAATATCTAAACCCCAAGTGGTGAACACACCCAATGAATTAATCATTAATTGCAATGCAATATGTTTCAGCAGGTAGTAAAATATTGCGTACGTAATTTTATATCACCAATTCTCTCGATTGTATGACACCATTTAGTTCATAGAAATGATGAATGATGGAGTGAGTGCGGTGTTCAATCCTTTTTAAAAAGATAGTTCCTACTCACATAAGTTGTTTTGCAACGATCCGGATTTCGAGCTTTAGCTCATCATCAGGTCGAAGGAGTTCTACTACCTGATGATGAGATAAAAGCTCGAAATCCGGATCGTTGCAAAACAACTTATTGTGAGTACGAACTATCTTTACTACGTACTTTAAAAAACATTTTTATTATAGCTTGAAAAATTAGTTTGATTCACACATACCCTTCAACAGGCACGAAAATATGAAATCTTCCTTTTTTCCATATGGAATCGAAAGGATGTTCGTCTGTTGTGTTGTTTACCTCTAATCTACCTTGCTGCACTTTATTGCAATACGTTCAACAGTTTTCCAATCGAAAGTTAAAGGAAAGGGGTATGCATGGTGCATGGTATTAATGTGCTTAAACAAATAGCGAAGTGCAATAATCTGATAAAATAACATAATAAAATTATGGCAGTAAAACATTTAAATGAATGAAATTCCACGTTGAACAAAAACATAATCTCACAAACATGATCCTAATGAAATTGATTAGTCTGGTGAATAAACAGACAAAACTAGTCTAAAGGTAAAATCTGCAATCCTAATTAATTATCAACCTAAACGCATAAAAAAGAAAGTGTATGGAGCTAAAGATTATCATTTAACTCACTCAAACGATCATCGTTGAATAAAACATACATGAATACAATGAATTTTAGAAACAATGAAGTGATGAACATCTGTATAGTAGTGTGTGGTGTTTAGTGACCGTTAGTCAATGATTATTCGGAGATCGTGAGATGCGGTCTGATGTGACGTAGGTATTAGAAAAACATTATCTTTATCGTGCCAACGTTTCGATCTTTATTGAGATCATCTTCAGTGCTTAAAGTGTTTGTTTTCCGTATAGATGTGTCATTTCCGTGTGTGTCCTGTTGAGAGTGCGGAAAACAAACACTTTAAGCCCTGAAGATGATCTCAATAAAGACGTTGGCACGATAAAGAGAATGTTTTTCTAATACCTACGTCACACCAGGCCGCATCTCACGATCTCCGAATAATCTGTACAGTTATTAACATAATTCAGACAATAAATGTGGAAGGACTACCTACAAACTAAATAATAATATGGATCACGGTTCCCCTCCAATTTTTGAGGATGGGTAGACTTTCTAATATTACAACATTATATAGCTTATTAACATAGTTAATAAGAATCCATTATATTTTGTGGTCTGATTGACCAACTTACTTTCGAATCCCGCTCGTGGCACTAACTTTTTCATTTCAACAAAGACCTTACACAAAAAGAATAATTAATTGAAAATTAATAATGATATTTTTTTGAAAAATAGTATAGTCATTAAAACCTTTTCATACAATATCGTATTTGTTTACGTCTTAATGTTTTACATTATCACCACATTCACTACATCAGAAATAAACCATGTTGCTCAACACATTTGAGTCGTCTGGTTAGGTGTTGAACATCTAACAAGTGGACTGGTTCGACAATGACGTGTGGTATTTAAGATCTTTGATGGTGGCTAGGGTGGTTTATAATAATTTCCCCGATTGTTTTCAAATAGATGTCACGGCGGTGGTCTTCATTTCCGACATTGACTACTTCTCAGTACTTCGTTTTCTGAAACTGTTTCCTGCGGTTGGTTTTGCCGAAATCTGGATGCCAAAGTCCACACGGGCTTGAGGACCTGTTGATAAAGTAAAATCTTACTTTTACTTACTACTTATTAATCAGTACTTTTACGGAATTTGATGTTAGACTCTTCAGTTTTCGATTAAAAACATACACAAATCAGGAAGCCTGTTTTCCTAGTGAATTAAAAATTAAATATGTAAATAGTCTGTGTACTTGGCTAACTAATGAAGACTGTTAACATGACACCTCAACTATCGGGTTGTCCGGAAAATAATGCAGGATTTTAAGTTTTCATTAAAAAAAATCTATATAAAATATTCTGTTTACGTTTACAGGATTACTCATTTGTATGAATGTCAACACTTATTAATCCTCTTCCAAATGATATTGTTTGTTTACCTCTGTAGCATTCCGCTACTTGGAAATAATTCAGTCATCCTTATAATGTCAAAGCGAGAATTTCGTACGATTTTCTTTTACGAGTTTAAACTCGGCCGAAGCGGAGCCCAAACGGCTAGAAACATTAACCAAGTCTGGGGCGAGGGTTGTGTTAATGAGTGCACTGTGCAAAGGTGGTTTAAAAAATTTCGGGAGGGAGATTTCAGCCTTGAAGATGAAGAAGGTCGTGGAAGGCCTTCCTCTCTTAATGATGATGTTCTGCGATCAGTGGTGGAAGAAAACCCCAAAACAACTGTTCGAGAACTTGCAGAGCAACTCAAAGTCAGTAAAACGACCGTCGCTGACCACCTCAAGGCGATTGGAAAAGTGAAAAAACTCGAAAATTGGGTTCCACACTCATTAAACGATCGCCAAAAAAATCAGCGCTTTGATGTTTGTGCATCACTTCTTTGTCGAAACAAAAATGACCCATTTCTGGCCAGAATTGTTACATGTGACGAAAAGTGGATTCTCTACGATAACACTAGACGTTCTGGACAGTGGCTCGACAAAGGAGAAGCTCCAATACATTTTCCAAAGCCCCCAACTCATCAAAAAAAGGTAATGGTTACGGTATGGTGGGCTTCATTTGGTTTAATACACTACAGCTTCTTAAATCCTGGCGAAACCATCAATGCTGAATCATACTGTAACCAAATTAATACCATGCATCAGAAATTGGCAGTAATGAAGCCCTCTTTGGTCAATCGGAAAGGGCCCATTTTGTTGCATGACAACGCTCGACCACATGTGTCACGTGTAACGTCACAAAAATTATTGGAGCTTGGCTATGAAACTTTGCCTCACCCACCCTACTCTCCGGACCTCTCGCCTACTGACTACCATTTTTTTAGACACCTGGACCACTACTTACAACACATAATATTCAAAAATCAAACGGAACTGGAAAATGCATTTATTGACTTTATCAATTCTAAAAATTCTGAATTCTACTCAGACGGAATTAATAAGTTACCAACACGTTGGGAGAAATGTATTGAGAGTATGGGAAATTATTTTGATTAAAGAACATTGCTTTAAAGTAACTAGTTTCTTTTTTTTTGTTTAATACCAAAATCCTGCATTATTTTCCGGACAACCCAATAATAATGAAATCTGTAAACCTGGTATTCAATACCTAAAAAATATTGAAGTCTGCAACCTGTTCACGTAATTACGCTAAAAAATTAACATCAACGGCCTACATGGATAATTCAAAACATACAGCAGTAATATCATAAACACCCTAAAAAATCCATTAACTTCGCTCATTAACAACCTAAATCTTCCAAATTTAAAACAATTAAACGATTACAATGTTAAAATTAAAGGTCTTATTCGCTGTACCTGACGAATTCAACCTATGGTTGTTGAAAAATGCACAACCTAAAGAAAGAAATTAAAAGAACGTGGAAATAAAAATTGGTCCAAATTGGCGATTCTGCAAATTAAGAAGATAACGAAATTTTTAAATTTTGCAATTTAACGTGAAAAAAATATTTATCCGTGAAGTTGATGATTAAAACCCGATATATGAATCTAGCAAATTGACCCTAGCAACTGATAATCAGCATGAGGACCTTTTGTATGCAAAGCTAAACCAATAAGGAAATTAGTGAACTTGTGTCAATTATCTCAGAAAAATGGAGTATACGAACCAAACGAAGCTCTGGCCAGTAATGGCAATCTGATCAAACAAAGCATAGGAAATTGGGTAAAAAGTGTAGTCGTAAAAATGGTCATCGTTATACTTATAAAGATTCTGGTTATAAAGCATCCCTACAGTACGAAAGGATCACTGCCTAATTAAAAAGGATCGGCAGGAATGCTTGATTAGGATTTTCTAGAAACTGTGAACTTGCTTTTTTTTCATACAGTTTACAATTGGAAATAAGTTCTGACGTTTCATCAAATTTAAAGCAGAAAATAACCGATCAGCATTTTTTTCTTGCACCGTATAATGCCATTTCGCTACAAAAAAGTGTCCGGTTGAAATAACTGCTATTACATGAGATAAACTCTTGACATTGAGGCTATATATGTGTATAATTAAATATATTTCATTTATCTGAACTCAAGGCGATGAGATTATTACTACTATTATTAATTATTTACACCCTAGAACTGATGGAAAGTCTGTTCTTCATGCAAGAATATCTCAGGACTTTACTACAAATCTTGTGCAAGGAACGCAAAGGCATTTAACGGACGTAATTCGTGCCAGAGGAGGAAATAATTAGTATTATAGTAGACAAAAAAGTTTTTTTTACATTTTTTTTTTGCTCTTTACTCAATAATTTTTTTTTTAGTAATTAGGTAATAAACATTTTATTTTTAAATGCTTTATTTTACATTTTTACATCCAAGCCTCTGTTTGGTATGCTACATACGAATAAAGCTGAATACATTAAAAAGTGGTGCGTTAATTTTGTCCATCGGTATACATACATTTTTCAAAGAGTTGGTTGTATCTGTTCTACTGAAAAAAGAAAACTTTTTTTTGGGGTAGATGGTGGGCAGTCTTCAATGTTAGTTATAAGCTTATTTTAGTAGCTTTCAGGGGCAAAAAAGATTTCTTAGCTAAGCTCAAGCCATTAAGCGCACAATTATATCAGGATATAAACATGGAACCCACCTGGTCTTCAAGTCAGTTTCAAAACTCAGTTTCCTCCGTGCGTGGTCATCGCAGAGCACGAGCCACCGCCACTCGATTGACAAACAGCTATGGACACAGGGGTAAAACCATGACTGAAACCGATCCAGTACAGACAGAATCGAGTAACACCAACATGATTTGTTGCTGGCCAGGACACCCCCTCCAAAGACAGTTCCCCACCACATGGAGGACGAAAAGTCTTTCGAGACAATACAAATCAACCAACAACAAAGAACTGACAATTATGCCTTCGATCGTCAAATGATGAAGTCAAACACGTGCCAATTGCATGGAACTCATTTAAAAAATTCCTCTTTCATTCAATTCAAATGAACAAAGCGCAAATTAGCGTAGTCCTTTCTTTTTTTTTTCTTTCACAATTTGCACGAGTAAAAGGAAAGGACAAGTTGAATTCCATCTCATCTTTTACTTCAAAGCTAAGTTAGTACTTAATCTATAAATGTAAAGTTAACGAATGTCAAAACATTTACGGCCAGTACTAGCGAAGTGAAAAACTAGGAGAAAAAAAGAAGACTGCCTCTGGTCAAGGCGCAGAAATGGGATCTGCACTGAGGAGTGGAGAACACACTCAGACAAGGCGGAAGGGCCTGGGATTGTAATGATCCTGAGCATAGACGAAGCCTCACAGAGACGATAATAAAAAGAGGACACCCTCAATTATCGTTTCAGGAGGATCCCTGGAAGAGTTTTGAAAAGAGGAGGTGGGGAGGAGGATACAAAAAAGGAGAACTCAAAAAAACACTAATTATCTCTGACTTCTCTTGTGCAGAATTCATGCCCAGAGGCCTCGTCCCCATCAAAATACAGATAACAATATGGGAAAAAACCAGAAGCCTACTCTTAGAATTAGAAATTCATTACGTAGGGTCAACCTTTGTCACCAAAGTGAGACAAGAAGTATTGGCTATTACCATTTACAGCTACGCCCTACACAATGTCAAAAGAAATTGGAGGTTTTCTAACGAGAAATCGATTTCTTTCAGACCATAGAATAATAAGGTTCCCTGTGGAATAGAGAACTGGGCAGCCTCAGAGCAAAAACCATAAGAGCATTCAATTAAGAAAAAACTGCAAGTAACTGGGGTTACTCACCTTATATAATCAGACCATCCGAAGGGCAAAGAGAGAAAGCTTTCGCAAATTCTGCAGGGAAATATCCTCTGTATTGACAGCAGCTAGACTAAACAAAGCACTAGCAAAGGACAGAATAGAAATAAACTGTCTAGAAGAAAGTAGACGGTACCTACTCAGAAGATGCAAGACAAAAACTTCATCTACGTACAAATTTTCCAAGCAGTACCTATGACCCATCCCTGGAAAATAGGAAAACACATAAACAGAGATAAGAAAACTGGAAGAAAGCCGCTGAAATATGCACAGAGAAAGAGACCAATCAGGGCAATCAATTCTTTCAACCCATAGCGTCAGGTATGGACGGTTCCTCCCATCCTGCTAAAAAGGAGCAGGAAGAATAATTCCAACACTGGTGCATATATAGAAGCAGCCTAGCATTAGCATATACCACAAACAGTCGTAGAGCAAAGCTTATACCGAAATAAGGAAAAGAGGCTCTATAAGTACCTAATCCTATAGTCCAATCTGCCTAACATCTTTTAAACCAGAAACACTTGAAGAGCTAATAGACAAAAATATAAGAAGGGCAGTATTGATAGACTACCACTCCATCACTGTCAGCATGCATACAGAGTAGGACGATCAACAGAAACTGCTCTGTACCAGTCAACCAGTGACCTGAGTTAAACCCTAGAAACCAAGGAAAAAACAATCTGTGCGTTCCTCGACATTGAAGGAGCCTTCGAAAATGCATTCATGCATCCATGAAGATCTCCCTAGAGAAAAATCATGTAGACCATACCATATCTAGATGGATTGGATAAATGTTAATAACCCGAAAAGCTGAAACAACCATAGTTAGCACAACCAAGCTATGCCTGCAAGGAGCTGCAATACGCACTAACACCCCTACTGTGGAGCCTAACAGTTGACGAATTGCTTGAAACTTTGGAGTAAAACCGCTGGTTTAGGTATTAGCCCTAACAAAACAACCATATTAACCGGCCCACGGCCCTTAATGGGTCTATCTCCACTCGCGGATTTTTCGTTTCCGCATCTTCAAACGCGCCATCTTAGTGAGGAATTGAACTGAGAAGGAGAAAGTGATCGGGTTTTTCCATGGGTACATAAAAAATCACGTTATTTGCACAAAAATCGCGAATAACTTGAAAATGGTTGAGAACTCGGGCAACGTGAAAGGTGACTAATTGATGAATGACTAAAGCTAGGAAAACATTTGAAAAGCAAAAAAAATGTTCAGCGTAAAATTTTCTAAAAAATGAGACCTAGCGCAGGTCTGTGATTTAAAAGGAGAAAATATGCATTTCCAAAGTTGGCCATTTTTGTAGATAGTTAGTACCAAAAAATCCAAACCAACAGCAAAGCCACAACTCAGAAAAATGCAATAAAAAAGTTAAATACGTATTACATTTATATAAGGTAAATCTTTTTAAAAAGATAGTTCTATTCACAGTAAGTCGTTTAAAAAGATTGAACAACACACTCACTCCACTATTTATAATTTCTATCATTTCTATTTATATAAGGTATATTAATAAAATCTTGTAGAAACAGCAAAATGTGATATGAATGAATAAAACATCACATAAAGTATACAAGGAATGAATAAATGTAAAAGCTTCTTCTAGATAGAGGAAGAAGTTTTCGACGAGGTTTGTCACTTTGATCCCTCAGTGAAATTCTTTGAGACTCTACACAGAATAATGCAGCTACTATTACTCGTCGAACCAATCTTACTTTATGTTTTATAAAAAAAATAAAAACAACGACAGTTCAAAATAGTTCATGACCAACTCAGAGGACTGTTACAGAGCCTTTTTACGAAATGTAGTATCCTTTTCAAGAATGGAGAAAAACTGTTATTTGTCGGCCAGGTTTGTGTAACTTGCACGATTTCATATGACACACAGCAATATGAATTGCAGATGGGTAATTTGTCAAATTAAAAAGTGGAACGGTGCGGAATAAACGATTAGGAATTATCTACGTGATACGTGGTTACAGTATGATAAACAATGGTATAAAAAATCCGTAATCTGTGATTTAGGAACGACTACAAATTACACGAGAATCCACAACCAAAACGACTCAAGGGGTGCTCACACTAACAAACTAATAATAAACATAATAACTAATCTTTTTAAGTGATTTTCTATTGCATACAGTTTTATTGTAGTACAATTAACGCACATTTAATTTAAAAAGTATGTATATTTCCGTGATAGACTAGAACTGTTAGATAATATAACACCAGCATTAATACGATAAAAGCCTCGTCCTTTTTGCAATAAGTTAGCCTTTAACATTGATGATTTTATAGAAACCAAACGCGAGGAAAATACCTAAATTCAATCGGGGGAATCTCATGCGTTGGTTCAATTGGCATCAATCCGTTTCCGGCGCAGTCGTATATCTTTCAATTTGCAACCCTGTCCGTCCAGTAACAAGGGCTAAACCTTGGTCGACTTTACCCATGGAAAAGGAAAACTAAGCAATTGGCAATTGTCCTAATCTAAATAAATTAATGGTACCTTGAACTCGAATTCGTTGAAGACTTAAATCTCCCATGTGAAGTCAAATAGAACATCTGTTTCTGGAGATTTCTGGCTACTAATATTGTAAAGATCCGCTTTAGAAAATAATTTTGATTAATTGGATTTATACATTTATATGTGTGATAATCAGGTATTAGGTCACAGAAACAAAGAAACTCCCAACTTCATGCCAAGCTTTCGTTTAATTTGTGAACATCTTCAGCGCTGAATTAGTTTACAATTTCTTTTTCAGGTACATATGTAGATGTTTATAAATCCTTGATAATAAATAAATAACATATAAAAAAACAATTATTATTTTATTTTATTTTTATTTCAATTGTTGTTTTTATATTTATAGGAATTATAAACATCTACATATTTACCTGAAAAAGAACTTGTAATCTTTGTATATTTCTGTGGCCTAATACCTCATTATCACATACACAAATCTTCACGAATCTTCACAAGATTGATCCATCTCTTAACAATATCTTAATAGATTTATAAATTGGATTAATAGATTTATAAATTGGATTAATAGATTTATTTAATTGGATTCGCTATATAAGTATTTATAAGCCATAATTGATAATTAAGCCATAATTAATACAGTCAATTAAGACTACTAAATATGTATATAGGGTCTAGAAAATATATTTAACTGAATCACGGTATGTATCCATCATGGTATGTATCATCAGTCTAAAGAACTAAACATGCGTATTTAAAATGTAAGTTATTATGGTGAGCAAAAAGAATCGAGAGCAGTAATTCAGAGGTAGAACCATCTTTGAATTTAGACAAAAAGTCTTCTACTCCATTCTTCCAATGTCACCTAAAATGTTCTCTGCGTTCCTTCCACTAGTGTCCAACTTGCCCTACTCCCTTCTTGAGTACATGGCGATTCTCTTGTGCCGATTGTGACAAACCTAATGTGATAGTTGATCAGTCGGTTAAAGTCTGAGTACCGCGGTTCACAGCACATGGTCCAACTGGACCTGTTTCCTGGCAGGCTTTGTCTACTTTCAACTTTTTAAATTCAACATTAACTTTTTTTTCTGTATTGACGAAATATTATCAGCATATCATTCCATATTCAACTAGTAAAGGTCGATTTTGTACTCGACCTTTTTCTTATATGTATATTATTGTTTAAAAAAATTATAGTTAGCTTTTTATGAATTGTCACATGAGTGACACAATAAGATTAGTTTCTTTTAAAATTTGATTTATTTCAGGTCCGCCTGTCCTCGCTGGTATTGAATCGTTTCATAGCGTCGTCAATTTGATCAAACTGCTGTCATAGGCAGACCATCAACCATCGAAGAGCAATTGACAATCAACAATCGCCAACATTATTAAATTGCCTAGTGTTTGACCATCTCTAGCATATAATTCAACCCTATATGTAAATTAGTCGTGAACAAACATTTGATCGAAATTTCTCATTTCTGACCACTAGCCTTCGCTGTTGTACCTGCTTACACTCCCAAAATAATTACAGTTACTAGTAGGTAATGTGCTTCAATCTGTGGATAGTTTTCCTT